ATTATGGATTTTTGAAAATTACCTTTCATGCAGTGTGTAACACAGCTCTAAGTGGTGGTGGATGAGGAGATACCCCCTGACAATGTAAAGCGCTTTGAGTGCCTAGAAAAGCGCTATATAAATGTAATGAATTATTATTATTATTATTATTATTATAAGTGAATGAAAACATCCTGCCAAGTTTTAAATCTGAAAGTGCAACGTGTATAAAGTTATTGTCGCTCTAAAGAAAGAGTCGACTCTGAGTCATTGAAACAAGTCATTTTTAAAACGAATCCCAAGCCGTTTCATGTTGACGTCAACATGAAACATTAGCATATTGCCCGCCCACTTGTTGGTCTTTTCTCGTTGGTCTGAATGAAAATGCAAATTCATTCTTTGCCACTAGGTGCTGATTTTGGAGTGGTAAAAATAGCGGTTTCCCCAGTAACGCTGTACACAAAGCAGCACTGCACTCACAAATGCTGCTTTATCAGGCATTACAGGCAAGATGAAATGAAAATGAGACCAATCGGACCAATCACTGCAGATTAGCGTCACGCAAAGGAGGTTTCTCTGTGGAGTTCCCTATTCTCTTAGAATTACAATGATTATTAAAACTTAATAGTTATAGTCTATGGTGTGAATGGCCCTTTAGTCTTGTTGCTATGCTGATTGTTTAGCACATTTTAATCTTTTTCTTAGTGGAAGCATATACAAATTATGAAATTATTTTATTTCAAATTAATATTTCATGTCCATGTATTCATTTGCTTGCTAAGTAGCTATGTAAAATGTGTAATAATAAAAACATTTTTTTATTTTTACTAATGACTGGATGAACATGACAGCCAAAATACATGTCTCAAAATCTCATTCATTACCTTGGCAGGTGTGCTTATCAGAGTCAAGGATGTAACCTGGTCTGCAGAAACAGCGATAACCTCCAATGTAATTATTGCAGAGTTGGGTGCACTCATTTTCAGGGTCCATACACTCATTAACATCTAAAAGTCAGAAAGATTTGAGGTTAAAACTCAGATCAGCAATAACTGATAACACTCTCAGCGACCCACAAATAATCTCAAATGCTTTCGGCCCTGTAGTCAATGTATTACTCATTATGTTTCTCACCCTGTGTAAAAGCCTCGAAATCCAGTGTGTCTCTCAGTGTTTGAGTAGTCTGCAAGAAATGAAACAGAGAGACAACCACCAGGGGAAGAGTGGAGGAAAGCGTTGACAGACGTCTGCAGCTCCTTCATGGACTTGTGTCCACATATATTGAAAAGAAGCACCTCATCTGCAAATAACTGGAGAAAAATAGTTGTCACTTACAAATACACAAATCTAAATAATCTATGTAAAATATACACTGTAGTAGATCTTTTCACACAAACACTCTCTTGAAAGGAATAGTTCGCCCTGAAATGAAAATTTGCTGAAAATTTACTCTTACCCTCAGGCCATCCAAGATATATGTGAGTTAGTTATTTCATCAGAACAGATTTGGAGAAATTTAGCATTACATCACTTACTTACCAATGGGTGCCGTCAGAATGAAAATCCAAACAGCTGCTAAAAACATCACAATAGTCCACAAGTAATCAGCACAACTTCCATCCTGTGAAGCGAAAAGTTGTGTGTTTGCAATAAACAAATCCATAAAGATGTTTTTAACTTCAAACCATTGCTTTCAGCTAAAGTATGAGTCCCATCCATAATATTGCCTACTCCAGTGAAAAATTTACCTTGTCTGAAATATGCACACATCAAGCACCATTTACAAGCAAAAACAGTCCAAAACAGTCTGTGGATTTTTATGTGAGAGGACAACAGGGGGTGGATATTTTCACTAGGGAAAGCAATATTATGGATTATGGAGTATTTTAGCCATAAGCAACGATGTAAAATTAAAACACCTTAACACAAGATGTTAATCGATGGGCTGGATTCGTGTCGATTACTTGTGGATTATTGCAATGTTTTTATCAGTTTTTTGAACTCTCATTCTGATGGCACCTATTCAGGGCAGAGGTGAAAAAGTGGTGTAATGCTAAATTTCTCCTTATCTGCTCCAATGAAGAAACAAACTCATCTACATTTTGGATGGCCTTTTCATTTTGGGTAAACTATTCCTTTAACATAAAACTGCACTTCTAAGTGCACAAAGATACAATTTGCATTTTGTACACACACCTTCAAGGTGTCATCCTCACACTCAAAGCTTTCTTCTAGGTCCAAATGTATTAGAGTGAGTGTGATTTTGTGTCCAGTTGGAGCACACTTTTTCCAAGTCAGGTTGGAATGGGGATCATACCCTCGTGGATGTCCAGGTGACTGCACCCATCCAGCCAATGACACTGACCCACACACGGGAAAGAGAAGGACACTAACACTGGACAGGAAAGGAAAAATCAGGAAAAACATAACAGAAAACGAGAGAAAATAGTAGGAAAAAAATTTGTAAAGTAGAAAAGAAAGGGATAGACAAAGAAAAGGAAGCATGCAGTGATAGATAGATAGATAGATAGATAGATAGATAGATAGATAGATGGATATAGAACATTCAAACTTATAATCCATGCAACATTTTGTTAGAGGAAAAATACTATGTAGAGAAATAAATTCATACCAAAAAACGATCATGATGAGTGTTAAAACACAGCCCGCTTTCTCCTTCTGCACTTTCACTTTCATGCTCTGTGTGCATCATCATGTCCAGCCCTCTTTTCCCCTAAAAAAACAGTCAACATACTTAAACTGAATGTTTCCCAACATCTGTCAGTGGGCGTTCACCTTGAACTGACGTGAACTGGAGGGGGAACATGTAGTGACTGCTCCAGACAGACTGTTGTGGGGATATACATCATATTAACATTAATTATGCATTCATTTAAAGCATATTCAGTTCATGTTCAGTTCATTCAGTTCAAAAAAAGTATATTGAACTGTTCATTGTAATTTGAGTTCACAATTTAAAATAAATAAATAAATAAAAGTCAACATCTTTACTAATACGAACACTTATTCAGTTAACTGACAACTTATGCATATGAGCCAGAAACACATTTGGCTGCAGTACAATGCTGAAACCCATGGATGCACTTTGACCGGACAGTACGCCGCCTGGTGTCAGAAATGAAAAAGAGAAGAAAGTGAGGGGTGGAGACATAAAAGAGGAAGAAAAAAAATGAGTCAAATATAGATGAAATGGAAAAGGGAGAGAGTGAGAGGGAGAGACGAGAGCAGGTTTAGAGGGTAAGAAGAGAGATGGGGGCACGGAGGAAGACGAGGTTATCTGCACTGTATTTTTTGGATGTTTTCCAACTATTTACCGTAATAACCACACAAAAAAGGTCAAACAATGTCATTATAAAATGTTGCATTGTATTCTGATAAGTCATTTTACAGCAGTTTGCTAGTATACTATGTACAATACATTGGTGTATAGAGCTGTTTAGTTCTATTTGTAATTGCTGTGGTGTAGTTTTAGAAAATATGTAGATGTGCATACACATTACATTTAATATTTTCTCTAATGCAACAGTACATTTACCAATTACATTACATGACCATTGCCAATAAATTCTACAAATTATGCTATATTACCAATCACTCACTCTCATATATTTACCTACAAATGAGCTAAGTAAGCTATAAGTCACCAGACAAAGGAAGTAAAACAGAAAGCTTTATTTAACACAAAACTAAGGAAGTAAAATTGTTCACTATTACAGTGTAGGCCATGATTCCCACTTCTGTTGTTGTTGCGAACCTGAAGTTTTGCCTCTTTTTTTTTTTTTTAACTGGGGTCCAGGGACTCGAAAGGGGACACAAGATGTGTTAAAATAAAATCCTTGAATTTGACATTATTACAATTTTAATCTCCTTTCTAAATATTCTTTGAAAATCATGAGCTAAATCATAATTATTTTATTGTTTTGACAACCATTGTTTTATGTTTCTAACTTGTGGGTAGAAAAATGATACAATGTTAACTTATTAGTATGTATACCTCAGATAACATAATCATTCAAATATAGTGGATCTTTATGACACCAGTAGTTCTTATGAATATGCTTTGGGAGACTGATTAGATGAGTTTGTTTACATCACAAGCATGATTAAAACACCTAAATGTACACAGTATGTTTTTGTTTAGTGTCTGTTCCAACGACAGCATATTTGATCTTAGCTATATGTTGGAGATGAGATGAATATGGTGAAAAAATACCTTTTTTCATAAACTATAGAATAAAATATTACATACTGATATGCAGAGGGTTCTGTGTCCCACAGCACGCCAGCACTTGCATCAGAAATTACAGTAAAGATATGAAACTACACTGTTAACAGTTCTGACCAAATGAGGAAAAGAGTAGGAACAAACGCACACACATTCTCACCGTGATGGTATTGTCTTCCACAAAGCTGTCTGTGGGTTTTACATTTACATTTAGTCATTTTGCAGACGCTTTTATCCAAAGCGACTTACAATTGGGGAATACATTCATCTTAAAGAGGCAAACAGACATTTGTTCAAATAAGTACAAGGGAAGGAATAAATAAAGATTAGGATGAAGTCAAGGTTTTGAATCAGACCTCACTTTTTTCTGATATTTAGGTCACACTGTGTGATTCAGAGTAGGTAGCAACAGATATTTGCAGATGCATTTTGCTAAAACATTCCTGCCCCAATCCAGAAAGAATTTAGAAAGAGTTATAGCCTAATATTATTCAGAAATCGTATTAAAACAAACTAAAAGTTTAAGCATAAAACACTTCATGGCAGTAGCTTTTGCTAACACAATACACTTCCTCACTTGTACAGTTGGTGTAAAACCTAGAGAACTGCCTCATTATCTCGAACCTTTGGCAGTCTAGCAGTAATTGAAACAGCTGTTTTAGTGGATGTCATGAGTAATGTTGACTGCTGTAATCTAATCACACAATAACTTCTCAATAAACTGAGGTCTCATGTTGACATTGTCTCTGTGCGCCTCACGGGTTTATTGCTGCACGAACAGGAAGGAAGGCAAGAGAATGCAAGCTCAAGTGCAGAGGGTGGATAGAGGTAGCGGGGCTTTCCAGCGCAGAGGGCAGAAAAAGAGTAACAGAGGGGGTAAAGAGTGGGTGACGTAAAAAGATACAGAAAGGAAAGAAAAAAATGATTCCCCTACCTGCAGCGGATGAACTGAGACGCCCCACAAAAAGACAAAGCAAGCAAGCGTGACAGACAAACAGAAAGAAAGAAAAGAGAAGAAGACAACTGACGCAATAGCTCGGCTCAGCATGACCGAATAATCATCAATTCCTTGGTAACTTGCGTGAACGGATCAAGACATCACTTCCATAATTGGTGTCAAGGGGTGTACAAGTCAACAGACTTCATATGACTGCACAAAACTGTTCACACTGAAAGGACCGAATCGAGAAAACACTGAACGTAGCCAAGATGGGAGATGTGAAATGCAGCACATGTCCAAAAGGTGGGATTTCTATACTGTATCGATACTGTAAAATAGCTGATTTAAAAAGTTATGGGAAGTTATCCATTTCTGTTAGAATATTTTTATATATAATATAGTGGGAATGTTAGCTCCTATTACAGAATCTTATTCTTAATTAGAATCTATTACAGTGTTTAATGTAGGCTTGATTCACTTATTGCTCATCAAAATACTTTGAGCAGCTTTATGAAAGCAGTTCACAAACCACTGTGTGAGAATAAACGATCAAGTTCGATCCTCTGTTTTTTATTACTGCTATTTTTACAGCGACATGATTTGAAGTTCATTTACATTAAATTCGCCTGTGTTTTGTGCTAATTTAGAGACACAGCTTGCCATTCAATTGACTGTAAGGCACAGGGTATTATTTTTACTCATCACATTGTTTTTATCAACGTGAAATCAGCCCACTCTGGCGTACTCAGGAAATCCTGTACTGGAACCCTGCTAACAACTGAGCTTTGATAGTTCCTGGAATTTACGCATAAAATAACACAGGACATTCTGTATCAGTTTGAAATAATGACATATAAGATGGACTAATATGTATGTATTCACCACATTTTAAAACAAAACAGCATTTAATTAATGAAAGATAGCTCAGGGGCACCTTTCCATTAAAATATTTCACAATGAGCTTATGTTTTAAATTTTAAATGTATATAATTGAAATGAAGCCAAAAGGCAATTTGAACACTTTCTGGCTATACAGACTTTAGCGGAGGATGTTCACAGTTTTAATGTGCTGAACTACACCTATGGTTATTCTGGTAGGACACCTGTGTGAACTTGAGGAGAACTGACTTCATACTGTACATGCATGAAAAATTATCATTTGAGAAGTATCATTTGTTTGCAGTTACCACTTGGTTTGATGTTTTTTTCTACTGCGATGAAATCCATACAATTAAAAAAAAAAAAAATATATATATATATATATATATAATAATATTCTGTCATCACTTACCCTAATTTTGTTCCAAAGAAGTATGACACTATTTCGTCTAGAAAGCACAAAAGAAAACATTGAATAATGCTTTATTGTGCTTTTGCCAAGGAAAGCCATTGTTTTCAACCACACTGAATACAAATGTATGGGCAAACAAACACTTTTCTTGTCTGCAGTGTTTTACAGCGACATGATTTGACGTTAATTTACATTCAATTTGTCTTGCGTTCTGTGGTAATTTTGTGACACTTACCAAATTATCATACAATTGACTGTAAAGTAAAAAATCTTAATGTTAAATGATATTCTAGGGAATTGTGTGCTTCTAATTTTATAGCAACAGTTTGGACAGGACCCTTTTCTATTCTAACATGACAATGCCTCTGTGTATAAGGCAAGGTTCAAAAATAAATAGTTGATTCAGTCAGTGTGGAAGAACTTGACTGGTCTGCAGAAAGCCAGCTGAACAACTCTGGTGTGACTATAAATGCAGACCTTGAGCAAAAAACTCATCACCAAACACCAATGGCTTGTATACACTATATGGATCCCCTTGTTTAGAACAGAAAAAGGCACTTCCAAAACTTTGGCAACAAAGATGGACGCATAATTCATGTATTTAAAAATTGTATTTCCATCTCTTTTGCAACAGTTTTGGAAGTGCCTAAAATGACTGTACCCATATGTACAAATCATTGGTGGTTGGTGATAAGTTTTTGGCTCGAGGTCTGCATTTAAAGTCACACCAGAGGTGTTCAGCTGAGATTAGGACTTTGCTTTCTGCAGACTGGTCAAGTTCTTCCACACTGACTGAATCAATCATTTCTTTTTGAACCTTGCTTTATACACAGAGGCATTGCATGTTAGAATAGAAAAGGGTCCTGTTCAAACTATTGGTATAAAATTAGAAGCACACAATTCCATAGAATATCATTATATGTTTAAACATTAAGATTATTAAAAGTTACTAAAGTAGTCAAACCTGTTCATTAGAAGGGGGTGTGTCCCAATACTTTTGGCAATATAGCGTAGATTATAAATGCTACATTTGTATGTGTGCTTGTGGAGTCTTGTGCAAAAACTGAGCTCTCTTTCTTTCTCAGGAAAATATATGTTTGCCAGCTGCAATGCCACATCGAGTACATATATATATATATATATATAATAATATTCTGTCATCACTTACCCTAATTTTGTTCCAAAGAAGTATGACACTATTTCGTCTAGAAAGCACAAAAGAAAACATTGAATAATGCTTTATTGTGCTTTTGCCAAGGAAAGCCATTGTTTTCAACCACACTGAATACAAATGTATGGGCAAACAAACACTTTTCTTGTCTGCAGTGTTTTACAGCGACATGATTTGACGTTAATTTACATTCAATTTGTCTTGCGTTCTGTGGTAATTTTGTGACACTTACCAAATTATCATACAATTGACTGTAAAGTAAAAAATCTTAATGTTAAATGATATTCTAGGGAATTGTGTGCTTCTAATTTTATAGCAACAGTTTGGACAGGACCCTTTTCTATTCTAACATGACAATGCCTCTGTGTATAAGGCAAGGTTCAAAAATAAATAGTTGATTCAGTCAGTGTGGAAGAACTTGACTGGTCTGCAGAAAGCCAGCTGAACAACTCTGGTGTGACTATAAATGCAGACCTTGAGCAAAAAACTCATCACCAAACACCAATGGCTTGTATACACTATATGGATCCCCTTGTTTAGAACAGAAAAAGGCACTTCCAAAACTTTGGCAACAAAGATGGACGCATAATTCATGTATTTAAAAATTGTATTTCCATCTCTTTTGCAACAGTTTTGGAAGTGCCTAAAATGACTGTACCCATATGTACAAATCATTGGTGGTTGGTGATAAGTTTTTGGCTCGAGGTCTGCATTTAAAGTCACACCAGAGGTGTTCAGCTGAGATTAGGACTTTGCTTTCTGCAGACTGGTCAAGTTCTTCCACACTGACTGAATCAATCATTTCTTTTTGAACCTTGCTTTATACACAGAGGCATTGCATGTTAGAATAGAAAAGGGTCCTGTTCAAACTATTGGTATAAAATTAGAAGCACACAATTCCATAGAATATCATTATATGTTTAAACATTAAGATTATTAAAAGTTACTAAAGTAGTCAAACCTGTTCATTAGAAGGGGGTGTGTCCCAATACTTTTGGCAATATAGCGTAGATTATAAATGCTACATTTGTATGTGTGCTTGTGGAGTCTTGTGCAAAAACTGAGCTCTCTTTCTTTCTCAGGAAAATATATGTTTGCCAGCTGCAATGCCACATCGAGTACAGTGTGTAAAACCTGCCCACGGCGTACATTTATTGATCAGGAAAACAAACTGAGCCAGTGTCGAGCCTGCAGGGAGTGCTCCAGCAGTAATTTCACATTCACTCACTCTGGTTTATATTACTAATAATTCCACATGTCCTTTTCAACAAGTAATGTTTGGGTATGTGTGTGACAGCCAGCAACATGGAGATGGTAAAGGAGTGTGAGGAAGACAAAAACACGCAGTGCAGGTGTAAGCCGGGATACTACTGTACACACATAAGTGAATCCCACTGCGATAACTGCAGTCCGGTCTCCACGTGTCCTCCAGGGGAAGGAGTTGCCTTTCGTCGTAAGTAATCAACCTTTGCTTACTCAACATTTGGTTTTCAAAATATTTGATGCCTTAGTCTACCTCCAAATATGACAATCCTTGAAATATTTTAAATTGAAATATAAAGATATCTACTTATTTAAGTCTCAGTTATACTGTGAAAAATGAAACTATTATAAATAAATATATCGTATAATCAGTGTTGGGGAGTAACATTTAACGGCATTATTTAATTTAATTTCAAAATAAATGTAACTGTAATCTGTTAGTTACTGAGAAAAAATGTGTAATTAAATAAGTTACTTATGAAATTGTTAACGATTACAAAGGGAGTTACATCTGAATATTTTCACACACACAGATTTAATTGATTTCTTTCCCAAATTGCATTGACTGCTCTTGCATTGACACTAGTGTTTCAGGAGTTTAGGACACAGAATAGGACACATGCTTGTTCGATAACTGTTTTATTTCGTTTTATTCGTTATATTAACTGTTTTATTTGGGTATATATATATATATATGCTTTATTTTTTTAAATGAACTGTTTTTCCAAGGCATTGTTAGATGCCAGTGTTTCCTGTCATAGCTATGCAAAGATTTGATTTCAAAAAGTATCATAGCTATTAAAATATTTCTTGTTATGATTTTAAATCTGTATTCAACCTCAGAATGATCTCAAAGTAAAAAGAGCCGCTAAAACCTGATTTTGTGGTGGCTGTGCTTCAAAAGTAAATTATTATAATCTTAATTCAAGTGATGAAGGATTTTGAAAAAAATCTGACAGTTATCAGTGTTGAGTACTACTGTAAAGTTAACCATTCCTGGTTTAAATGGTTGAAAATTATTAAAAGTTGAAAACATTTGTTAGACATTAAAAGTAATCAAATGTTATCAGCTACATTACTTTAATAAAGTAATAGAAATAAGTAACCTTCCACTGGACATAATATATAATTATGAGGTCAATTTGTAGGCCAATCGAAAGGCTAATTTGTCATGGGTCCCTTTGGAATTTCCAATGGGTTTTAGAATGGCGTTTTTTGATTTATGAGTAAAATACAAGCTATGCGCTACTTGCAGAGACTCTCACGTTTGGTACATAAATATTACATACCTCAAACGTGACTTTTGAAATTACTGGGCATTTTTAAAAACCTGACAGTTGCTACGTAAGGACCAAGATGACTGTTCATTTCACCAAGCACCTGAACTAAAGATGCTTTTGATAGTTGTAGTCTTTATTTAGCGGCTTGTTGGCAAAGTACATTTTAAAACAAAACTGCCACACACTTTCTTTAATCCATCTACATATCCTTCAATATGTCTTCATAAGCTGGTTAAAAGACTATGGGAATGGAAAATGAACCTAACTTAACTCAATCATGTCATGATGAACCATGTGAACATAACACTACACTTTACCACAAAATCCTGAGTGACTTATATATTGACAAGTCAAAAAATAATCAGTTGAGTTTGCACTGAAGCATGGATATGCCTGTTAGAAGATCTGCAATGGTCTGAACTACTTCCATAGACTGTTTAGAGTGGAATATGTGGCAGAAGGACTGCTGAATAACTGAAGCTGTGTTGCAGACACGTTCCAGAAAAACACTGTGTGCAGTCCCTGCCCAGAGGGAACCTACAGCGATGTGGACGACTACGTTTCCAGCTGCAAAAATTATACAAGGTGAGAGTCAGTGTTGTACATTTACAGTATACTGTAGCAATTTCACAATTGACAGAGTGACAGACTGACTTCTCACAAATTCACAGAATCCCCCCACACAGTGTATACATGACTAAAAAGTCCTTTAAATTGAAATGATCTCTTGCAAAACTATCACAAGCTTCTGACTCACATTATTTATTTCCAAGTTACAGAACCAAAGTTCTGCTTAACTTTTTCTCTACAAGGTACATCATTTTAGACCTATAATGGCCTTTCTTATCGACCACTATCTGATTTAAACAAAAGACAGAGGAGGAATGCACAGCTTTTATGTATAACCATTACAGGTTTTATGTCATTGTCCTACACGAAATAAGACCGCATTAATTTGCTTCCATTCAATAAAAGTGTAGACGTACACTGTGTAGGAAAGTGGGTGGGTATCACTTCCTTTCTCAAACTCCCTCTGATATACTCATACATATTTCTTTCCTTTTTTCTACATGTACACAAAGCAATACACACATACACAAACTAATATTATACACATACATAATAGTTTCCATGTAATTTTCCTTAGCTCGATAGAAATAAAACGTGACAATTTCCCTTCTTAAATAATTTGCCTCATTTGTCATTTTACAGTTGTGATGATTTGGGTCGACATCTGAAGGTTCCTGGGAACAGCCAATCAGATGTTGTGTGTGGACCATTTAAACCATGTAAGTCTCTATACCTCTACTGGAAAAACTCTTTTTATAGGAAATGTCACCATGTTCAATGTGTGTGTAAAATGAGTTGGAAAAAATCCTTCTTACCAGATCTGGATAATGGGTAAACTCACTATTTCTCCTTTGTTTCAGCTTGTTCTTGGATGTTACCTGCTAGTCTGTGGGCAGGGATCGTGGTTACAGCCGTGATTATATTTCTGATCCTGTTTATAATTTATTGGAGAAATAAGCGTCAGTCAAAAAGATTAGGTAAGTAAGTGTAATATATAAGTAACATATTAGGTCCCATCTCACTCACTAAACATGTGCACGCATGTATTTTCACGAAGAGATCATGATTTATAAATCATTTCCCACCTAATACAGTATGTATTCTACATTTACAATCAATTTTGACAGCACATATTTAGAGAGCGAGCGGATTTAAAATAAATCCGGGAATCATCAACATAGATATATAATATTAAATATGAAAACACTGATATAAGACTGAATAATTTTCTTAGAGGCTGGTCACAAGCATTTCTGCCCAGTGGTCAAATAAGTCAAGCTGACTTCATATCAGATCTGTAGGTTGTAGTTCTAGATTGACTGTAATTGTCCTTGATGATGGGTGAGCAGAATTTTGCACTGACGTACATAAAAGGGTCACTTAGCAGTACCGCATGTTTGACTGATGGGAAACCAAACCCAAAGTCTGTCACTAATACTACTAACATATGGAAGCATATAGGTAGCGAAATTCAATTTAAAATGCAATATGCAAAATGGCAATGCAATATTCAAAATGGCATTGTATTTCTGTATTTAAATGTACATTTTCCATTACCCATACGTGCAAAGTTTGGTGCAAAAGTAAAATGAAAATTAAATTATATAATTTACATTTGCCATTTCCAACAGTAGTCTTAATATGTCAATTGCATGCACATTTGAACGCTTTATAAATTGTGAAATGAAAATGAAAATGTATAACACAAATTGATTTGATATGTGTAACATGTCCAAGCAGAAATGGTAGCAAAATGATAATTTAAATGCTATTTGTCCTAAATGCATTTAGACTAACAGTTAGAACACTTAGGATTGCATTTTCATCATGACGCCGTGGGATATTTGTAGCAAAATTCAATTTGAAAATGCATTCCAAGCTGACGACGCCCACCCTCCGTCAATCATTGCTTCAAGGCAGGGATTGGCGGAAGCGTGGTACGTTTGGATCGTTTGAAACATGGCGGCTCGAGATCTGATAAGATCGTTGAATTCACTGGCAGATGAAGTGGAGCGTGAACAGAGAAATATATGAAGCATATTCCATGCTAAAATCAAACGTTCGAACGACCGATCGATCGAACGTCTTGAGCTTTGAGCGTCTTACACTGCGGGTGACCCACGTGACGCCAGCGTCTTGAAATTAGCTGGTTTTTAAACATTTAAGGAGCCAAGCTGCTGTGTAAAGACTATAAATGGACATTACAAGCATTACAATAATGATATTTTATACCTAAAATAATACTCAACCATTTCCTGCATCCTGCTGTACTTCCCTGAATAAGTCTTTAAAGGTGTTGTAGGCTAATAAGTCGTTCTGAGTAATAAATTGAAAAAGCTCCCACCTGTATATGACTAAACAAAATAACATGTAGTTTACTTAAGGTTCTGCTATAAATGTGTCTATTAAAAACATTAAT